CTGCTCGACAAATGGCGACCTTCTACCGAGAACTGAAAGTGATCCACTCCACTAACCCAACCGGTACTCCCTGCCCCAAGGCAAAACAGAACGACTACGCTAGTTAGACCAACCTGGCTGAATAGATCAGTACATCTTTCTGAGACTACTGTAAGCACTGCAGGGGATGGCCGCATGGGATGTTGCCCCACAGACATTTTTTTTCCTCCTAAGCGAGCCAGGCCAATCCTGTCAGCTCAGAAGTCACATGATTTCCTCTTTCATATCCACATGGTTCTGCAGCTGAACTCTCCAACATGTCAGGGGATGGCCGCATGGGATGTTGCCCCACAGACATTTTTTTTCCTTCTAAGCGAGCCAGGTCAATCCTGTCAGCTCAGAAGTTGGTCACATGATTTCCTCTTTCATATCCATGTGGTTCTGCAGCTGAGCTATCCAAAAGGTCGAAGGAATTTCAGCGTGCACCTTTGCTTGTCGACTACCCCGTGACATAAGGTATCCTGGCATAAAGACTGACCATCTAGATCTAAACGGGATATTTTCAGCTTAGGGAAATACTGAAGGAAAAAACACCCCTGCCCAAACCACCCAGAGTTTGCAGTCAGAAGATTTAAGACAGCCAATAATTTCTGCAGATAACAAGTTGGCTGTAATCTAATGCAGATTTAGGCGGCGCAACAGTCGTTTGGATGGTGGCTGTTGGCCCCCAGTATCCATTGCTACGAGATGTCATGATGGCTTACCAGGCTATGAGAAAGATTACATGAATTCATAGAAGATGGGCTTCGACTACTTGAATCAGTCATGGCAACCAGACACAGAACCGGCACCCAAGGGACAGAGGCTGGGGGTTACTAACTAGGAACATCTGCTGCCACCATGGCCTGCTCGTTAACTTGTCGGATGCCACGGGACTCAAAACCCAGAGAGCAGGTAAGGCACCCATCCCTTGCTTTCTGCATTGGCAGGATAAAGATGCCGCAGACAAGGATATTCCCGTCTCCAGGAGATCCAGGAATGCTGATTCCCCCTCCTTGGGGCAGCATCAAAACTGTCTTCCTGTTGTCCGGGCAATTTGCCAAGGGAAAACTATTTCTGCTTCCCCTCTGCCCTTCTGTTCTGTTCCCCTGCCAACTTCCTCGCCGCTTGTCTCCTCTTCAGTTCCCTAACCTGCCTCTCGCCTCCCCTCCATCCTTTCCGGCCGTGCGCTTCAACCTCTATCTTCTGCTTCCTATCTGGGCTGCACATGCCTTCCTGGCTTGCAGCCTCGCAGTGTCCTACAGTCCGTCAGGCCATGGGAGTTGGATCCCGCCAACGCCCGAGGCAGCAAAATACTGTCAGGACTGAAGCAGCACAACAAAGTCTTATGTCATTCCAAATCCAGGCACTGATGTAGCACAACAAATGTCATTCCAAATCCAGGCAACAGTTATTGGGAATAGTTAGATTCAAGTCCAATGGCACCTTAGAGACCCATAAGATTTTGGGGGTATAAGCTTCCAAGAGCAAGTAGGGACGATCTGTTGGCTTAGGTCCTGGAAGAGGATCACGTCGCTTCGGCTCTGCTCTCCCATTTCTCAGCTGCCCACTCAAACTAATCCGTTCCCCATCTCTGCTTCCTGCCCTGATATTCTCTGTGGCACTTGAAAAGCTCTCCAGAGGTCCCACTTCATCAGGAGCAGTGACCATCACAGGCTCCGCTGGTCCAGAATTTGACAAGAGCATTCAGACCAATGAGCAAGATCTTGGGATAAGAACACAAGAAGAGCCCTGGTGGATCAGACCAATAGCCCATCTAGTTCAGCATCCTGTTTCACAGAGTGGCCAACCAGTTCCTCTGGACAGCCAACAACAGGGCATAGAGGTCAAGGCCTTCCCTTGGTGTTGCCTCCTGGCTCTGGGATCCAGAGGTCTACTGCCTCTGAACGTGGTGGTTCCCCTCAGTCACCATGGCTAGTAGCCACTGATAGACCTCTCCTCCATGAATCCGTCCAATCCCCTTTGAAAGCTGTTTATTCCTGTGGCCATCACTACATCCTCCGACAAGTGAACGCCCCAGCTAAATCTCTCTCTGCGTAAAGTAGTATTTCCTTTTGTCCGTCCTGAATCTTCTGCCCATCAGCTTCACTGGAAGCCCTCGAGTTCTAGTATTTTGGGAGAGGGAGAAAAATCCCTCTTTGTCAACTCTCTCCACCCCGCGCATAATTCATGGATCTCCACCAGAAGCCGTTCAAGGTTTCGCCAGTTCGCACCCAGGGAATTCCCCCAGCAGGTCGGAGCCCACCATGTTTCTACTCTGGCACATTGCCTGCAACTCCTGTCTCAGGTGTCTGAAAAGATCCAAGAAGGGACATCTCACAAACGACGCCAGCACAGAGGAGTGTGAGATAACAGAGTCCTGGGCACTACTCTGGCACATTGCCTGCAACTCCTGTCTCAGGTGTCCGAAAAGATCCAAGAAGAGACCTCTCACAAATGACGCCAGCACAGAGGAGTGTGAGATAACAGAGTCCTGGGCCCAGATCTTTGGCCTTTTATTCCCCAAAACAGCCTCGTGACTAAGGTGGAATGCCAGAAGGCTTGGCTCCTGGTCGAAGGCCTCCACTGCACAGCTTCCGGCTATGCACGCTTCTCTCGGTGCCCTGCTCCCTGGCTACTTCGCTGCTTTTGGATTATTCCCTGATTGACGGGGACAGCCCTCATCACGACGGGTCTCATTCTCACCCGTGATCCTGCAAATCTCTGCCCCAAGTCGGGACAGCACCCTTCCTGCTGTAGGAACAGCGTTTCTGAAATGGCGTCTCGGTCAATTGCCCCTTTGTTTTCTGTCCAGCAGAGGGGCTCGATTAATCACTCGTTTCGACAGAGAGAGTCCCATAGCTACACCGGCTCGATTTCGCACTAAGAAAAGAAGCCACACATCCACTTGCAAAGCCTGCGCAGAGCTTCCTGCGACTTTACGGCCAACTCGCGCAACCAAAAGCAGTTAGGAATTTGGATCGGTATTTGGGCTGGCCTGTGTTAGAACTGTTGGGCAAAGAGGCGGGGAGGGGCAGACCTGTATGTGCAACCAATGTCTCAGATGCTTCTTTGCGCACCAAACCACAACTGGAGGGCTGGCAAGGGACACGGATTTTACAAAGTCAACTCGCATGCAATTTGGCGGAGTGAAACTGGCCACTAAAGAGATACCAGCCCTCGCCAGCCACTCCGGCTCCCCCTCGACTCACAGCCATCTGTAGAAGCAGCTAGTCCGGGCAAAGGGTTTGGAAGCTCTTTCGCCTTCTGTACAAACATTCCCCCCGTATTTGAACTGAGTACACAATGAAATGACTGTACAATCAACCGAATGTCTCCTCTGCTGTCCACGCGATGTTTTTCCTATGACTCACGTGGTTCCCACCCCTTTGCTTTTCTGTCTCCTGGTGTGCAGGAGAGAGTGATGGGGGTGGGGGTTTACGCCACAATTTAGACAAGTGCTAGCAGAAGTGCCGGGCGATAGCTTTCCTGCTTCCTATAACACAAGGGGCTGTTCCGTATAATTGCCTAATCGAGTAAAGCGGGGGAATGAGTATCAGTGCAGATAATGAACTGTAAGTCTAATTCCAACACCGATCTGGAAGACACCAATATCCTTTTTTACCATGCGATGGAAGATAAACAACTCCGTGTGTGTGTGTGTGTGAGAGTCCGTACGAGCGTGCATATCTGCGCTTCCAATTCCGATCTCGTTTATCAGATACATAAAAACAAATGAAACAAAAAAACCAGAGAGGAGCCCGCCAGCCAGCACTCTTTCACTCGGTCACCTCGAAACGTCACCCGCTCTTGCCAGCGTGGCCGAAAATGGGTTCTGCAAATGAAACACGTGACGGCAGGGGGGGTGCGAGAAGAGAGGGAAGGAAAAGCAGGGCTATTGCTCAGCATCGGTCGATGACATGAAACTATCTG